CACCCATCATATAACTTTATTACCTCAAAGTTCTGGAAGTGTTGACAGTTACAGTGTTAGTGCTAACCAAACTCAATATTCAAACTTATGCAATGTATCATATGTCAAAAACAGTTACAATGGATCAACAGAGTTGTTTACTCGTCCAATTAGTTCCCCAACACCACAAATGTATAGTCCATATACCAGTAATCTTCACTTAGATCATACATTGACATGTGGCTGGAACAAGTTTAAGCCTCAAAAGCTTCAAAAGTTGAATAATGCAAAATGGTTTTTATTTTTTTTAGCTGTGTTTTCTATTTCACAAGGTAACTTTTTGCTTTTTATTAATAGTTGTTTTGAAATGTTTTTAAGGTTATAAAGTAAAATTTTTAAATTAAATAGAGAAAATAAAATTTTTAAATTAAATAGAGAAAATAAAAATATTAAATAAAAACCACTTTATTTATTTTTAAATATGACAAACAAGTTTAAATGAAAAGTTATGAAAATGTCTGCAGTTGAAAAATATGTAGTTACAACCATTATAAAAGGTGTTTCAACTATCAAGGTGGAAGTTTGTATTTCATTAAGCAAGTATCTTACAACTATTTTTCCACTTTACTGGGATGTTAATTCATTATAAATTTGTTCAGTCAAGGTTAGTTATAGAGTTGAGAGAGGGTTGTAATTACAATTAAAGTAGACTTCTTGACTGTAGTGGCCTCTCTTTATGATGTGTTAGTGAGTTTGACCTGTATAAATATCGCACACACTTACTTCATTAAAGCAAATAAACTAAATATGTCACTGTGTCTATTTTATTTGAAAGTACTGTAAATATATATTATATATATATATATATATATATATATATATATATATATATATATATATATATATATATATATATATATATATATATTAATGTTAATTCACCTTACTTAGGCTAAGAAGACCACTAAAAACATGGCTACTTAATTTTGATTATATATTTCTCTAAACTCTATAACTTCAAAGCATGAACCTTGGCGAACAAGTCCATAGAGCAGAGAAACAAGTTAAGCACAGTATTACCATATATATATATATATATATATATATATATATATATATATATATATATATATATATATATATATATATATATATATATATATATATATATATATATATATATATGTGTGTGTGTGTGTATATAGATATGTATATGTATAGAGCGTTCACTTCATAAGCAAGAAGTTCTGAGTTCAATCCCCACCACATCCCTGGTAGTACTGAGCTTAACTTGTTTCTCCTTGTTCGTCAAGGTTTGCGTTATGAAGTTATAGAGTTGAGAGAGGGTTATAACCACAATTAAGCAGCCTCCTTGTCTGTAGTGACTTTCTCGGCCTTAGGGAGGTGAATTAACAGTAACATGCTCCATCATGCTGAAACTTGTAGGTATTTGTGATGTTCATGAATATTTTAAATTTTTTTAAAAGTATTTAAAGATAAATATGGCTGTTTATTATGGTGTTAAGAGGCATAAACAATAAACCACTTTTTTGCATCCCATATCATGATTTTTGCATCCCATATCATGATTTGCATCCCATATCATGATTTTAGGGCAATGTTTTACATTAGAAAACAAATACTGGGGGTTGTATCGTTGGCAAGGTTGGTGTCTAATGCTTGTAGAACAACAACCAGATTGTTTGATTAGTGATTCGTCACTAAAAGTTACATCCTCCCAATCTTCCGCTGACCAGTGCTTGTATTTTTGACAGAAGGCAATAGGGTCTCTAATATTTTTTAAAGAAAGGCAAGGTTTTTTTGCCAGAATGTGGCTATTTAAGTTAAATTGATTGCACAAAGGTCTTCTAATTTTCACAATACTTGATGCAACACCAGTTGGGAATATCTCAGATGAAATTTCAGAAGCACTGGCAAATGGATGTACTTTTGCATAACGATGAATGCAGTTATCTTCAATTTGAGTAGTCACCTTTTGTCGCCCAGTTCTAGCTTTGCTTTTAAAATCACCAGTTTCTTGATATCGCTTTAATATTTTTATAATGCAGCTATGTGTTATGTTAAAATGTGCAGCAATAGTAAAAAATACATAAACAGAGGTGTCCAATAAAACATAAACAGAGGTGATTCTAAAAATAAAATGAGGGGAGGGGTGAATCCTTAAAAAGTACTTGGCTTATAAAAAAAAAAGGTCCTTAAAACTAAAATTTACCTGACTGAATTTTGTCAAATACCCGACTAGCTGACTAAATTTGTAAAAGAAACCGATTATAACTTGAAAATCACCTTTTTTTGGGGAGGGGTAGAACACCCCCTCCCCCACACACACACTAATAAAATTGCTTCTGGACATAAATAATACAATAATATCAAAAACTCTATTTATCAAAAGCTCAAATCAAAAACCCAATCAAACTCTATTTACTTAAAATTAGATTGTTAAGATTAGAGATCTATTTGTCATATATGCATAGAATAATATGACCTATTTGTCATATATGCATAGATTCCTAAAAGATATTTTTTATGCCACTTCATACATATTACATATTTTTAGTCATTTCATACCCATACCCTAAACCATCAGTTAATTTATGTACTGAAAATTGTGTGTATCTTTATCTAAATATTGTATTATTAGTGTCATAGCATAAACTAGCATAAACCTAAGCTAAGATCCATTGCAGATGACATGATTCTTTAAAATTTCAGATTAGTTGTTCGAGGTTCTTAAAAAGTATTTAAGTAATTTTGCATAAAATTTCCATTTTCAAATATAAACTGGTATTTAGAGGTTAATAAATTTAGTACAAGTTGTTTTTGTGCATCTGTTTTTTCAAGGTATTTTATGGTTTACTAAGGCTAAAGTGATACTTATGTTATAAAATTTAAAAAATTTTCTGGTTTTTCTTGCTTTTGTTCTCTCTATATAATTTGTCAAAGTACGCAATTTTTTTCAAAATCATGTCATGCTAGCATAAAACCTAAATAAAATAATAAAAGATAATATTCACAAATAATAACAATATATTTTTGTTTTTACATTTTATCTAGGCATGATTATAAATGGTTTCACAAATGTTGGTCTATCAACTTTAGAAAAGCAGTTCAAGTTCAGTAGTAAGCAGTCAGGAATGATTGTTGCTGCAAAAGAATGTTCTTCATTACTTCTGATAGCTTTTCTTAGTTTTTATGGTAGCTTTGGCAACAAGCCAAAATATCTTGGTTATGGTGCTATGGTAACTGCATTTGGGTGCTTATTGTACGTTTTACCCCATAGTTTAACGGGTAAACACATCCCAGATAATGTGTCTGTTGTATTAAGTCAGGAACTTTGTGCAGCTGACTCTAATTTTAAACGAACAGATTCAGAAGTAAAATGTGAAGTTAAAAACTCTTCGGAGGGATACTATTGGTTCATCTTCATTTTGTCTAAGTTGTTAGTTGGTGCAGGCACAGCTCCTTTGTTTACATTGGGTGCAGCTTATATAGATGAAAATGTTAAACCAAAAGTAGTACCTATATACCTTGGGGTTTGGTATGTCTCAACCTCTTTTGGACCAGGGTTAGGATTTTTAGCTGGTGGGTCTTTACTAAATGTTTATGTAGATCTAATTCAGGTTAGTGTTTTTTAACTCTTTATAACTTTTTTAAACTTTTAACTTCACTTTTCAACAGACACATAAGAACTTTATATACAGAACTTTAATATAATAATAAAATAAGAAAAAAAATAAAAGAAAAAAGAAAAAAAAAAGAATAATACTTAAAATATACATGTTTATAATACGAAAAAAAAAAAAAAAAAATGTTTGCTGAATTTTGTTGTAACTTTTTTCTTCATTAATAGATACTATTTTTCAAAACATTTTTCTCAGGCAGCATACAAAAATGCATTACTAAAAGCCCCAACAGATTGCTATTTCATTATGATGTTTTTGTGTATATACATATACATATATATATATATATATATATATATATATATATATATATATATATATATATATATATATATATATATATATATATATATATATATATATATATATATATATGTATATATATATATGTATATATATGTATATGTATATATATATATGTATATATATATATATGTATATTTCTGATAGTTATCATCAAATATACTTATTGTTTAACTATTATTAAAATAAAAAAATCTTACTTAATTGTTAAAGGTAAACTGAAACAGTCTTTATTGATGTCTGCAAGCAAACCGCATTTTTTGCAAAATTATGAAAAATGAGGTTAAAGGGAGGATTAGCTGTTAAATGAGCACGTTTTTAAATCTAGAAGTTCTTGTTTTAGAAAATAGTTCACTAATTTTTTAAATTCAATGCATTATAAGATAAAACCAGATTTCAATTTTGAAACATTTAGTCCTAACATTTTAAGCTAAAACCTTTAAAAAACTTAAGCAATTCTTTTTTATGCATACAATTTTAATAATATGGCGTTAGGTTGTTAATAAATAAAGACTCTAATAAAATAATTCATGACCAAAACTGAGTTAAAATTTTTGAAATAACCTCGTTTTTGGTAATAAAATTATTTTATGGCACTCGAATCAATCTTTTCTCACAAATAAAAAAACGTTTCTTTAAATATACAAATAGATAATTTATATTGTTTGATGTGTTTTTATTCTCATAAAAAACTTTTTATAATGAGTTGATCAATTAATAAGTTCTTTAAGTAGAAAACGATCTTTGAACACCCAGTTGATAATAGATTTATGCACCATTCTAAAGAAAAAACCGGCTAACTTTATTTTATACTTCAAAATTCGTCTCGCTAAGAAAGTTGTTTTCATAAATTTTATTACATATTTGCTTGGGACGTACAGAATTTAAGGTCACGTGATTGTTTTAAAATGTAAACAATGTTTTTGCGCATTAAACTAGAAAAATTTGTTTCTAAACTAGCCAAGTTTGAAAACATATTTCATAACATAGCTAAAGGTGCAGCAAACAATTTTTTGATTTTTATATGCAGAAAGGGTTGAAATTTCAATAGTTTGGTGCGGATTACAAAATTAATACGATTTTCATTATTTAATAATAAAATTAAAATTATAAATGCATTTAAAAATAGTTAAAAAATAAAAAATAAGCAATCCGCATTAAAAATTAGATAGAGTAGACATTTATTTATAAATGTTCCAAATTTCAACCATGAGGCATGTAGCTATCTTATGAAATCTTAGTTGACCCAAGTCAGGTTTTCTGTAAAAACCACAAAAAACAAAAAAGTGATCCCAAATCGTTAGCAATATTTAAACATTAATATTTTTATTCCGTTTAATGTAAATATTTATTTAAAAAAAAAAAAGATAGGTCTTTTATTATTTTTTTATTTGAAGATGAAGGCTCTTATAGGAAAAAAACACTACTATTTTAAAGTTAGTGCATTTTTAAACTTTTTTTGCGGAAATACTTTTTTTTTTGATAAACACAAAAATAACTGTGACGTCAAGCTCGCTTTTATATTGAGTGAAACAGCTGTGATATATATGTATATATATATATATATATATATATATATATATATATATATATATATATATATATATATAATATATATATATATATATATATATATATATATATAAAATTAGTAGAAAATCACTTAGCAAAACTTTTTCTCATATTACACTGTGTTTCATCAATAAAGACTCATCAGAAATGAATGATCAAATTAATAAAACTTCAATTTATACCAAAAATTAAATTACAGGAAATCGCATGTCTTAACTACTGCAATTTTTCACACATTTGTGTAATTTGCTGACACTATTAAATGTAATAAATGTGTTGTCTCCTCTAAGAATGTACCTGATAAACAATATATTGGCATAACAGAAGGTTATGCCAATATATTGTATATATATATATATATATATATATATATATATATATATATATATATATATATATATATATATATATATATATATATATATATATATCTACTATAGCATATTTATATGCGCAATTGCTTACTTTTTTTGCTAGCCTAAATTAAGTGAGCATTTTTAGAAAACGAAGAGGGAAAACGAAGAATAATGAATGAATGAAAGAAACTGATTTTCTAATAGAC